ATATCCTGTTTACCGGGCCCGGATGTGTGCCCCGCCTCTTGAAACTTCTAAATGTGTCGCTGTTTAACCAATAATCTACTCTAAAACATTGTTCTTCTCATACAAATACATGCTCTACCCGTCCTGCTTGCGTTTGGCATAGTGACTTGGCACTAAAAAGGTTTCCTTACCTAAATAATATGGGGAAATTAGCGGACTCTGGACAGTCTACGCTAACCCCTGGGCTGACTAACACTTTGTCCTGTTTCATTCACTAAATTTTATAAGCAAACGATAAATCATATTTTTGTCGTATAAACCTATCGTGAAGGTATGAAATGAAAACTTAACTCATGTAAAGAGCATAAATCTGTAAATATATCTGTAAAGTTACCAACAGACGAAGAAAAGAACACAGCGCAAGTCAAAATTAAAACATACGAACAAGACTGACAACTCCCCTGGACAGAAGACAATTTTATCATTCTGCATTTTGATTGGCTGAAAATATGACTCGTTTTGCCCACTCGTTTTAAAAGTATTCTGACTATAGTTTTCATACTGATGTATTTTTTTCTAACAATATTTCTTTATCTCCCTTTTTTATCTTCAGATATCTGTAGTTTATCAACCTATAAGAGTTTGAGAAAGTACAGTGCAATTGTAAAAATCTGTATTTAATGCAGCGAAGAGATTTTTCATTTTATGTGCGAAGTTAAACAATATTCTTCTCACATATTGGGGAAAATAGTTTATATTATTCGTCGATACAAAAACATGGATGAAAGCTCGACATTTCGCATATTATATGGTGCTTATGTTGCCCTAGATAGATCTTGCCTTTGAAATAGAATGGACGTGCCATAAACAGACTTTAAAAAAAAAAGTTTTTTATGCGTTTTCTTCGGCCACTTTTCCATCTTACAGAGGAGGATTGGGATAAATTTGAAGGGTTAAATTACACAAAAAGACATTAGGAACCACTGCTATAGGTATTAGCCTCTTAGAAACATTCACACCCTCCTCTTTATCGAAAGATATAGACGAGCAGATCTTGAATTGATAAGATAATGCCGAATGTGCACTTGTAATCAGTCATTCTCACTAGTGAGTCGAATCAGTTGTTCAGAATCACAACAGTGAAATTGGAGTTTCAGTGCATAGTTGCATAACGGAGCACGATTTATTGTTAATGATAAAAAGGAAAGATTCAAATCGCACGTAAGATGGAAATGTGTGAACCATGAGTGGAGATTCAGCGTAAAGGAATATAAGATTTATTGTCTGTAACAACAGCTAGCGAGCACAGCACTAGCTCAACAGAAAGGAACTTTTCTCCTGAATGAAGTCTTCGACACGACGGTGTACTTTGACCTATTCGAAAACGTAAACCAGAGAGAGCACAATGACCGAAATCGGCATAGGAGAGCTTTTCTGGTCGTTGGCGACAATGTTTGCTTGGATATTAGCTGTTGGTCTAACATTATTTCTGTGTTTAGGAGTAGTTTATCTGGTGTACCTTCGTCATGTTAACAAGGGTGCAAGTGAATTCTGGCCAGCAACCGTTAAACTCGATGGCAAAATCGCTGTTATTACGACCAATGGCAATGGTATGTGTACTGCGTTGTGACTTAATGCACTGCTAATGATATTCGAATCGGTTAAGTGTAGATGACACAAAAAATACTTTATACTAATCATCATTCTCACGATCACATGTTCGCATATCACAATTTTATTTTATCTTCATCCATCAGCTTCAACATCTTTCATTATCGCAGCTCATTGACTTTCATTCATTATACACATCAGTATATCCAAGTTTATGTGTTTCGTCTTGTTCCAGATATCGGCGTGGAAGCGGCCAGGCAGATGGCAGCTAGAGGAGCTAGGATAGTCCTCGCCTGCAGTGACCAGAGGAAAGTGCACGAAGCCAAGGGTGAGGTTTCTGTCATTCTAGACCTGTCACTCGCTGATAAGGGCAGAAAGATGTGCAAAATGCGTTTTTCTCATTGCAAGGAATGTTATTAATCTCTGCTTATGTCTGTCTGTCTGTCTGTCTGTCTGTCTCTCTCTCTCTCTCTCTCTCTCTCTCTCTCTCTCTCTCTCTCTCTCTCTCTCTCTCTCTCTCTTCTCTCTCTCTCTCTCTCTCTCTCTCTCTCTCTTCTCTCTTCTCCTCTCCTTCCTCCCTTCCTCCCTCCCTCCCTCCCTCCTCCCTCCCTCCTCCCTCCTCCTCCTCCTCTCTCTCTCTCTCTCGTCTTCTCTTCTCTCTCCTCTCTCTCTCTCTCTCTCTCTCTCTCTCTCTCTCTCTCCTCTCTTCTCTCTCCCTTCCTCCTCTCCTTCCTCTCCTCTCCCTCTCTTCTCCTCCTCCTCTCTCTCTCTCTCCTCTCTCTCTCTCTCTCTCTCTCTCTCTCCTCTCTCTCTCTCTCTCTCTCTCACTCTCTCTCTCTCTCTCTGTCTCTCTCTCTCTCTCTCTCTCTCTCTCTCTCTCTCTTCTCTCTCCCTCTCCTCTCTCTCTCTC